CGAGCAGCTGTCGAAGGGAGCTCCAGCAGCTGCTACGAATACACACGATCGTCACATCTCCTTGATCGGCTTGGACGGGAGTCGACAGCCTGCATTACTCGCCAGATCGGTGATACTCTTCCTTCTCTTTACCTCAAGGGCTTTTGCTTGTTTGTTTCTGGTCGCGAGCCTTGACTGGCCTGCCTACTTAAGACGCCAGCTCCTGGATAGGTCCCCTACCTTAAGTAGTTGGTGGAATCTGCCCCTCACTGTAACGTTCACCCCTCGTTGCCTCGTTCGATGAGCAGTCGCAGGCTTCAAATTTGGATAAGGCTATTTCATCAAGTCTTCGCTCGGCCGTATGTTACTCCTCCTCAGCTACGAATATTTATACTGACAGCCAATAAGCACTTGATTGAACACTCCGTCTACTCGTGACGAGCTTCGACTTTCTGTCGCAAATACGTTACCGCCGCCAAGATGCTCACCCCAACGGTTGCCAATTCGATCTCTTTCTTTTACCCTGTGGGTAACACTCCTGCCGTCAACTTGGCTAGAGGTCTGCCCCAAGGAATTGATGCCAATTTTCTTCTTCTGGGCTGCGGAGATGTTAGAAACATCTTGCACACTGCGTACAATGAGGTTGGACTGCGTACGGCGATACCCACATGTGACATGCATTCACGGATCAGCGGCTGACCTCCCCACAGCAAGTTGCAAATTCGATGTGACATGCAACGACTGGGATGAAGCAACTCTTGGTATGTGATTTTCATGATTGCTTCCCCTGCAACAACTGACCGTCTCGAAGCTCGCGATATCTTGCTCTTCTCACTGCTCCTCGATAATGCCGCCGCCGGCAACACAGCCTGGAATCTTTTCTACGACCTACGCATCTCCAAGGCCGATACTCAGCTTCTCTCAAATCAGCTCGAGAAACTACTTGCGGCATCCGGATCATTCAACTCTTGGAAGGCTAGCTCCTATGGCAAGGTCCTCCCCTTCGTCGATGAGGCTACCTTTGATGACGTCCGCGCAATCTGGAAAACATGCTTTGACACTGCCTCTGCAGATGATCGAGCTGGACAGGAGGCTGCGCTCAAATCTGCCATCAAACGATCTTTAGAAATTAGAAAGGTCGTCATGGGCGGCGAAGGACAAAGCTTAACCGGCATGCGATCTGCTGCCCCTCTCTCGACGGGAAACTTCGAAGCTATCACCAACGCGACCGATACCTACTTCGATACCTCGAAACCAAATCACAGCTGGTCCGGTGACATTCCTAACCCTATGTTCATCGCCCCCTTATCAAACCATAGAGTCCTGCACCACGGCGCCGACCCAATCCTCGGGTTTCACCTTGCGACCGGTTTCGCAGCCCTCACCGACGCGTCTCCCTTGAAACCCGATCCGAAGGATGGACCATTGATGGCATTTGCAGCAGCCAAAACCCAATTTCGCGAATGGGGCACTGCTTGCGGCAAACTCCTACGCGAGAAAAAGCTTGTGATCCGCTTCGTCGCGAGCGAGGCTCTTGCTTTCTGCCAGACTCTTCAGCATTTTGTTTCCACAAAGGAAACTTCAGCTGGTTGGTATCGCAGGCAGTTTGACTCAAGGCCCTTTTGTCTGGATCCCGATGCGTACGGAGGCAAGCTAGCCGCGCCCTCCTCCTTTGATGCCATCGATACTTCCAACCTCGCAGACCACGTTGGCACGATCAACCTGCTCACGTCCGCGCTTCCCTTGCTCACCCCTCAGCCATGGTCTTCTGTGTTCACGGAAACTCTGCTGAAAAGAGAGGACACGAGCAAGGAAGGATTCGACAGAGTTCTCTACGGCCACGGGCCCACTGTGTCTTTGCTTCTTGGTGCCAGCGCAGTCGAGTACTGGACCAACACGACGGCTGTGTCATGGGTCGATGAGATGTTGATCAGTTTCATGGCCGGCACGTTGCAAGACAAGAAGGACGTCCAAACTCAGCTACACACTCGCATAAACTGGAAGCAGAGCAAGTTCTTTTCCGGAGTTGACACCACCGGGCCACTTCAGGTTGACCCTGAGGCCCTTGCAGGCGTGCTCTTTAAGCTTTACCTCGAGATCTTTGCCCATGAGAACCCGATGAAGCTTCTATCCATATCGAAGGCATCGATGGCTCAGCTCATTCGCAATACAGCCTACACGAACTTCCACCGAGGGACTTTGGTGTCTCTTATGCGCTATCTCAAGCTAAGATTATCTGTTTCCGACTTTGATCGCACAGTTAACCTCTTCTTGGAGAAGTACTCTTTCGAAAGAAGCCTCATGTTCACTGGCAACTTGCGGCAAGACTTTTCGCTGCAGATGCACACACAGGGGCTGTTTTCTGAACCTTGGCTTCAGAGAGAAATTAAGCCGAACCGCAACCTCGGCGGTTTCGACTCCTGGGAATCGATCCCAGAGGTTGTGGCCGTAACCCTTGTGGTCCCGAACAATGCGATCAAACGCATGTTCACTGGCTCGCACCAGGCGGAGATCGCGTCTCCCACCGTCAGAGGTTCCCTGGTATCCGGTAAGGATGCCGACCATAAGTGGCACAACTTCTTCGATGATGTGCAGCTCGTCTGGGGCACCGTTAAGCCCAGTGGCGACCGAAAATCCTCCAATAAATTCTCCGTCACTGTTGAGCCTGATCCCGCCGGATGGGCCGGTAACTCACCTCTCATCGCGTCATTCTACGTCCCATCTTCCGCGCTTCAAGTCGAGCGCAAGACGGCTTTCGTGCGTCTCGAGGTTCAAAGCTCTGCCCAGAACATTGCAGTCTACCAGAAAACACTTGGCCAGGATTTGAAGGTTCATGAAAGCAAGCTGGCAGATGAATCCAGCGTATTCATCACAAAGTACCTGCCAGGTCAGACCCGATATCCCGCGACTTGCGAGGCCGCCGGTGCCGTCGCGGAGTCTGCCACAGAGGTGAAGGGAGAGACTCAAGCCGTTTTTACTGCCAACATGACAGCAGAGCAAGACAAGATAGCAACTATCACTGGCCATCTCGATTTCCTCTCCGCCAAGGGCAAGAAGCTACTCACCGATAAGGTTACCATCGAGACTGAGCAAGTGACTCCGTTTACTGTCAACGTTGTCTTTGGCAAGAAGCAGCACATCTACCCCATCACCTTTCCCATCCCCGTTGACGCTAGCGAAGGCAAAGTAAAGATCCGAATCGCCCGCAAGTCATCTTACTTCGAAGTCATCGCGCCCATTGCTGCCCCTGCCACAGGCGGAGGCGTCGACAGCCCTCTTGTGGACTTCACCTTCCCGACTACCCTCGCAAAGAGCTTATCCCACACTCCGGTGGACTTCAACACCCCGCACTTCAACCTCGACCGCCTACCCATCATCGACATAAGTAACAAGGCCGCAAACCGCTTCATGGTCAACATGATTGCCTGTCATTTCTCCGTCGGCGAGAAAAAGGTGCGCGAGCAAGCCCAAGCAGGCCGCGGCAATGGCATCTCCCGATCCACTCGCCTGAACTTCAAGGAATCCGTATTCACCATGTTCATGCTTGCCTCAGGCCTACAGGGCGGGCAGACAGGCTTGATGTGCCTTAGCCACGCCTCGGACGACACCGGCGTTCACATGCTCATCCTCGTCTCCGCCGTCCGTCTCGATCCTGCCTCCGGCTCCGTTGTTCTCGATGCCGCTGTGATCCCTTTCACCGAGAAAATGATCCACGAGCTCGAGCCCTTCCTTCTCATGCTCCGCGAGCTCGAATGTGCCCAAATCAGCGTCGACGACGCGGAGCTCACGCTCTGGCGCAAGGTGCTCCCCTCACTTGCAGAGCGCACCCGCACTTGGGACCACAAGTCATCCTGCGAGTACCGCAAGACGGGCAAGGTGCCCGTATCGACGGAGACGGGGAAGCAGGTCCTCTGCTCATGCGGTCAAGGAAAACTGCCGGACAACTTCGTCGCTATTCCCGAGTGGGATACCGCGTCAAAGTATGCCACGCGCATCGCCATCAGCCCCACTTTTGCGGTCCCGTTCGTGGATGACTGCGTCGACTTTGAGACCTGGGGAAGGAGTGAAGGCGGCAGACAGCAGCAGGTGGAGAGGTGCAGAGCATGTGGCAAGTCGGAGGCTGAAAGCGGTACAAAGTTGAAGAAGTGCACTCGCTGCTTGCAGGTCAAGTATTGCAGTGGAGAGTGCCAGAAGAAGGACTGGAGAAAGCACCGCGCGGAGTGTGCGGAGAGTGACATCCACTCCAAGCTGGAAGCGTGTGACGTAGACTAAAGATGAGGTTCCTCACAGCCGCAGACGGATGTCAGCCTGAATACTCGTCCAAAATAGACCCTTCGCAAGCTCACGCAGTATGGTGTGTGCCCTGTAGCCGATACCCCATGAAAGTGGGAAAAGTCTTTCGGGAAGGCGGCCTTGCACTTCGCCATTAACGTTGTGCCTGCAATCCTACTCTTGGCCTTCATAGATGATTGGTAAATGATAAGCGAGTGCTGACGCCCGAAATCAGGCTGCGCCCACCATCTCTCCCTCCACGTCTCGCTCTACCAACAAATTCCAGCTCGTACCGTGGGCAGTCGAAGTAGGTATTCCGACTTGATCTTCTCATTTGCTTGCTGCAAGGTTGTCATCAAGGATAAGGTGGCGGTCTTGAATACGTGCAGAAAGCGCACGCAAACTTGGGACCTGGGCTCCCAGCCTGATGTAGGCTTGTTCAAGGTTTACATCAGACTGGCCATCCGCATCAATAAGGAAGAGCCAATGGTAATACTCCAATTTTCAGCTCTCTGTGGTCATCATCAGCTGCGGACGCGGGTGCTCGAGGAGACCAGCACACTTGCAGGTGGCTTACCTGGCGTAAGGCAACCAGGCTGAGTGAGGACACATCACTCGAACGATCTCGCAGTACATAACATTTTCTGGTCCCAGCCCCTTTCTTTCTGCGACGGAGACCGACAGCTGGTTTTTTTGCGCATAGTTTCCTTCGTTCCAAAGCTCTCAGGTTCAGACTTGACACAGCCAAGATGCTGCTCCTCAACACCACAACGCTGCATCTTGAGGATTTCCCAGATCCCTCAGCAGTGAAATACGCCATTCTCTCACACACGTGGGGAAAGGATGAAGTGTCTTACAAGGATCTGAAAGATTTCCCAAGAGCGAAGAGACAGGCCGGATTTGCTAAAATCGTCCGAACATGCGAGCTCGCCCTTGTTAAACACAAGTTGCATTACGCATGGGTAGACACGTGCTGCATCAACAAGGCCAGTAGCGCAGAGCTGAGCGAGGCCATCAATTCCATGTTCTCATGGTATCGGCATGCGACCGTATGCTTTGTATGGTTAGAAGATCTTGCGCCAGTTCAACAAGCAGCAGAGCTGTCACTGTTACCCGAGAACCCCAGTTACCCAACATCGGGCTATGACGGAAAACTTTATGACATATCAGAGATGGGTTCTTGCAAGTGGTTCAAGCGCGGTTGGACGTTGCAAGAGCTCATTGCGCCACGCAGAGTCGAGTTCTATGACGCATCCTGGGAATTCAGATTTAAAAAAAGAGAAAGAACTACCGAACTGTCTCTTATCACGGGGATAGACGAGGAAGTGTTGAAGAAGCGAAGATCGCTCAAGGATGTCCTCGTGGGCGTCAAGATGTCATGGGCAGCCGATCGCAGGACTTCTCGTCTTGAGGACTTAGCATACTGCCTCCTTGGTATCTTCGGCATAAATATGCCGATGCTATACGGCGAAGGTCACAACGCATTCAAGCGACTTCAGGAGCACATTGTCAGCCAACATAGAGATGAATCGCTATTCGCCTGGCAGTCTTGCAACCCACCTGATCAAGACTATCGTGGCGTCTTTGCTAGATCCCCCGAGGAGTTCAAAGTTTGTTCGAGATTACGGAAGGGTGGTCATTTCATGTTTTCGACCCCTGGATTTTCCATGACGAACAAAGGCGTCAAGTTCACCACTGAGGCGTTGAAAGTCGACAACGACGCGTACTTTGTGATGCGTTTGGGCATCCAATGCGACAATTGTGAGGATCGCCACGACGTTCACATATGTCTCCTGCGGACGACTAAGGGGCATGTCCGTGTTTCGCCTCATGAGTGCTGGAGGCCACCAGCAGGAGGTGGACTAAGCCCCCGAACCAAGATATACTGCTGCAAAGATGTTACTCTTCACGAGAGCAGGGCGCTTGAGCGCTTGGCATTAAGCCCTCTGAGAGTATCTTTGGATATAGATCAGAGGAATCTGCTGAGCGTTCAGCAGTATCCTTCCCTCGCGTGGGATCCCAACTGCAGTGGCTTCTGCGGTGATGCTTTGGCAGGCGACTTCTCAGGGGTTATCATTGTCTACACGAATGTAGTCGATGTTTTGACCTTAACCTTGCTCGTTCACAAATTGAAACACGAGGATGACCCCGACGTGGAGCTTTACGCCGCACCACAACATTCAGAAAGTCCATGGAAAGTGATTGAAGGCTGCAGTCCCAGCGAATTGTACAAAGGCGCTCGTTTGGATGATGAAAAATTGCTGGAAGACTACAAGGAAGCGAAGTTGAGCCGCGCCTATCAGCCGAGGAGAATGGTCAAACTCGAACGAAGCTGGACACCCGAACGTCCACCTATGACTGCAACATTCGAGGCTAAAGTAGAGGGTCTTCACGTTATCGTCTCTCTGGTGGTCACATCTGGCAGCGGTCTGCCCGTCGTTCAAGCCTACCCGGCTGTTCAAGCTGTGCCAATCATTCAAGGTTACTCCCAATTCCTACAGTCGTACGGCTTTCCATTTCAAGACCCGAACGTCTTCCAATGCCCGCCCGAGTTCGATGATACGGAAAATGATGGAGAGCAGGACGATGGCGATGATTGGGATGACACTGAAGTTCCAGACGAGGACGGCCTTGTGAACCTCTCTATTACGCCGGCACCTTCATACCCTCATCTCGAGACTCCCCCCAGCACCCAAAAAGGTCCAACAGCCGATCCTCGTTTCACCCCAGCGATCCCGACGTCATCCCGCCAGTCAGCATACAACACCCCCAAGCCCGAACGTCAGGAGTCTTCTACAGTTTACGGATACAACTCTCCAAGCAGGGCCTCCGTCGCGACGCCAATAGACACACCAAAACGTGTCAACTCAGACGGTACTGCCCCACACCGCGTTCGTGATTCTCCGCGCATGTCATCAAAGCAAGACCAAATAAACCGTACTTATACTGCAGAATACACCGTACCGTAGACCCTGGAGGTTTGTAGCGCGGTGCCTCCATCCTGCACGTACATAGACTGAGCCCGGGGGATTGTGACGAGTAGGTAGATCTAGTCTATTTAATCTCATGGGTTCATTGGCGTTTGGGGCGGTATGGAAGGCAGGGTAATAGATGCTCAGGAATTGTTTGTATCGTAAGGCAGCAAAGATGAAATACACCCACATAAACTCCACAACCCAATCCCCGAACCCGAATCACGGTAGGGCTCCCGTGGACACCAGTAAATCACGGTAAATATTCTCCCCTTGAGGGCTCCCTTGATGAAACATCTCCCAGCCCCCAAAAGGCCTCCAAGCTCATCATATACCGCCGTAGGTCAAATATAACCTCCAATGACCTGTACCAAACTCACGTGTGTCCGGGTTGCCATCAAATGTCGTCAGGCCAAGCCGGCAAACGGGGGCGTCGGGGGGCGGACGGGGGGCCCAAGTGGGATAAATCAAGCCAGAGGATCAGGGTCCGCCCCTCCATGTGCCAAGTCACAAAGAAGGACCCTCATTCATAACACAGCACACCTAACAACGCAGCAAGTAAGGATCCAACACATCACACTCAAAACCAACCCCCTCCAAAACCACTCGTCAACTGAAAGAAAGAAGATCTCCATCGTGCTCCGTATCGCCATAAGCACCGCCGACACCAATGAAGACCAGCCCAGGCGCCGACCGGTTGGTCAGCCGACCACCACACACACACACTGACACCCACACACATCCGTCTTCCCTCTTAGCGCGGCCTGCGCAGCAACCACACAGAAGAAAAAAACCGCCGAAAAACGATCGTCAGGGGTCCTTAACATGACACAACCCACCCCATAATAACTTCCCCAGCGCACCCACCAGCTGAGAACCACCCAAGTCTTGCGCCTAACAAACGCTGGCCCTCTGTCTCTCTGCCGCGCCCAATCACCCTCTCCCTCCTCCTCTTGACTCTGTCTCGTCTCCACGTGCTGGGAGGCCTTTCTTCCAAAGCAACCCAAAAACCGGGCAGAGAACAGAGAGGCGCACACAACGGGGCAGGGCCGTGGGCAGCAGACAGCGTTAATTACCAAGGTTAATTCACTCCCAGATCTGGGTCCCTGTGGTCCACTCTTCAGTGGCCCAGTCGGTGGGCAGGCGGCGCAGTTTCTCTCGCCGCTTGGGGGCTGGCGAACACCGGCGGAGAAATTTTGACTTGGGCAACCTTGGAAGACACGCGAGAGAAAAAGGCTCAGCCCGTTCGTCTTCCGGTCAGGTGACTTTGAAGTTCTCGAGGCAGTCCTCCCCGGTGATGGTGAGAATTGGAGCTCGGTGCCTGTTTGGCTCGGTGCTCGGAGGGCCCGGCGCTCGGAGGTTTAGACACCACCACCACCCAACGGCTGTCGGTGGGCTTCCCCAGGAACCACCAGTTCACGGCCGTTGTTCACTGTCAAGATCATCCCGTCAATGCGAATCTGTGAGTTGGAGCCCACGCGCAAAGCTGTCAGAAGTTGTTCGTCAAAAGCCAAGTGTGTGGTGAGATATGAGGTCATTTGAATGCTCGATTACTACGGTCCAATTCCTTTAAGTACAATCGACCACGCTATCAGAAAGATTTCCAGCCCCACGAGAAAAACCCCCAAACCCCTTGGAACCCCATGGTCTCTTTTCCGTCGAGAAAAGAGCCCGTTTAACCAAGAAGAGGGTTTTTATTTAGCCCAACACTGCCCAAAAAAAATCCGGCTCCCTCGTGCGTCCCTTCGTCGCGCGGCGGCTCTTTGATAATGAGGAAAACTGTCAGGCAAAATGTGAAAAACAGGACCACCGTATATGTAAACCATTTCATTGTTAAAAGAACCGCCGCGGACGTCCATAATATAAGGGAGCCGTTGTACTATACACACAAGATGGGGGTAAGGGCGCCACCAATACTCCGTCGCAACTCTTTCCATCAAATGTCGTTATAAAAAAAAAAGGGATATCCCCAACCGCCGCCGATGAGATTTTTTAAAAAGCAAGAAGATTGTAAAATATCTCGGCCGGCGCCAATACCTCCCCCGGAGAGAGGGAATCGTAAGAAGCGAAAGGTGCCCAGCGGGGGCGATTGGCGGGCCAGGACGTTTGTGCGTTAAGATATCGATGATGTTGTGTGTGGGTAATTGATTGAGGGGGTTGGTTGGCGAAGGTTTGATCCGGGGAGGGAGAGAAAGGGCAAAACCGTCCCGAGACGTTCTTGTGTTTCCCCATGTTTCTCCCTCCCTTCATTGTAGGTGTGTGTTATCCGAGAGAGAAATGTCTAAAGGTGATCGCAAAAGGAGTGGACGGCGTAGGGTGTTTCGTGCCGACGGCGGTTTTTGTGTGTCCAAACGATGAAGATGATCCAACGCAAACCCATATCGTAAATCCGAGATATGTTCCCTACACCATGATACATATGAAATTTCCGACGACACTGGTCGTTCTTTTTATCGGAAGATTTGTTCCCCGAGTAAGCCAGCGTCGGAGAAATAGGAACACCTCTAAACGCCACGGATGCCAGAATGTTAAAGTAATTTAGTAAGCCAGTGGCCAGGTCGTTCGTCGTCACGAAGTGAGGTGCTCATGCGTTGGTAACCTAGAGATGTCATGTCAGTTTTCGTTGCTCTCTCCCAGTTTTCAGTTTTTAGGTCTGAAAGGAGAAAAACTTACTCGGAGAATCTTCCGCGAGTAATCTTGGTTGTCGGCGATGCTGCCATCGCTCATGCGGCGGTGGGCGAGCGTGGGATCCATGCGCGAGTCGGTCATGGACATGCCGCTGCTGCTCGGGGGCTTGGAGCCGCCGATGAAGGCGTTCACGGCGGCGTTGCGGCGGTGCTCCTCCTCGATCTCGGCGTTGCGCTTGCGGCGGACGTAGAAGAAGATGCCTCCGACAATGGCGGCGATGACGACAACGCCGACGACGACGCCCGCAGCGACGCCGGCGACGTTGGTGCCGCTCTTCTTCTCGGCGGCGGTGGTCTCAGCGGGCGGCGGCGTCGGGGTCTCGACGATGGTCTCGACGGCACCGCCGGCGTTTGTTGTGGTGGCCTTCGCGGTGGAGGAGGCGGATGTGGTGGCGGGCTCCTCGTCGGAGACAACGATCTTGATACCGGTGTTGTAGACGGAGTAGAATAGGCCGTCCTCGACACCACCGCCTGATGCTTGTGTCAGCTGATTTTCCTGAATCTTCAACCAAGGTTAGAGAGGTTCAAATGGAATACGTACAAGCTTCCAGCGGGTATGCTGGGCATCCAAAGTTGCACTTCTTGTCGTCGACGACGTTGATCTTGGGGGGGTAGTCGTCACCGCAGTAGCAGTCCTCTCCGTTCAGAGCGGCGACGTTCTTCTTCTGGTTCGTTTTGCACTCATCCGTGCACTTTCCCACACTGAGCTTGGTGACGTCGACGGGGTAGATCTTCCATGATGTGCCGTTGGCGTTGTAGCAGCCGTGAGAGGTGATGGCGTTTACTGTTGGGTTCTCACTTGGTCTCTGGTAGGCCGAGCTGGCAGTTGATGACTGGGCGGTGGCGACGCCGACGGAGACGGCGGCCAGGAAGGCTGATGAGAACTTCATAATGACGATTCGAGGGGGTATAGCGAGAGTGAGGAAAGGAAAGAAAGAAAAAAGAGCAGGTTGAATGAAGGGCGGTCTCGAATCTGATCCAGGACTCGAAGACGGTGACAGGTTCGTGTGTCGTGTCTTGCGGGTTCGAGGGTCGATGAACGGGTCAGGGGCTAAATGGCTCGTGCGGATTCAATCGGCCACCAGGTGTGATTTTTCCAACTCGAAATTCTCGGCGACGTCCTCGATTCTTTTCCTTACTGATTGATGTTCCTCCCGTTCGATTAGATAATTGTCGGTCGATTGAATACGTGTATTCGGTCGATCGGGGGTTGAGTCGATGTTGACGAGCGAGCGTGTCGGGGCGGGCAGGACCGTGTCTAGGTCGTGCGTCCGGGAAACAAGGCGAGAGTCCTAAAGAATGTACGGGCACAGCGGGCCTACGATCTTCTCTTTTGCGTGCTGTCTTCGTGTCGGAAAACCCTTCTCTTGTTGTCGTGTGTGTCCTTCGAGTCTCTTTTGCTGGGGCAAGAAAAAGAGGTATCACCGAGTAAATGACATTGAAGGAGAGCGCGAAAGGAGCAAGGGAAAGGAGGAGACCTTGGCGGATCGAAGATGAGTAACAGGCGATGGAAGAGGGAGAGACTTGGGGGGAGGGGAGGAGATTGGAACGAGTGACAGCGGGTGGAATTGGAGGGAATGGCTTGTTTTGTTGAAAAGAGGGAAACGAGCGCCGAGTGGGTTGAGATGAGGAGGAAAAGCGAGATTGCGAGTCCACTTTGCGGCATCCCGGGGGGCTCGGGGGAGCAGATGGAGGGTGTAAACCCAGAGTACGTACACGTCCTCTATGTAAGTCCTCGCCCACCCACACGCGCACAACTCTACCGTTCTCTCTCTTCTCTGTGTCTGTTACAGTCTCTGGCAGTCCGTCTGAGGGTCATTTAGGCCATCTCTTGACCCGTTCTGCCATCTGGTGTGTGCACAACTCGTGCATAGAAGGGCTTGTCGAGAGGGCCACAGCGATGTCGTCTGCTGGTGGACACACTCTCGACAGAAGGGAAAAGCGCCGTCACGTCCGCCAGTCAGCGTCTGTGAGGGGATGGCTCGTACCGGGGCAAGCCCTGAACAGCGTGGTGCAGCAGCATCAGTCACAGCCTAGGGGGTCCCCGGCAATATCCAAGGCCTTCAGACGGGACACACACACACGCACGCGCTACGAGACGGGGCAATACTGAGAGGGGTGAGGGGGCCAGGGGTGGAAAGACGGGCAGCAAGTCCTGCTCTCTTGGGCTTGGGGGAGCGCTGCCAGACAGACCCCAGAGTGACTTGAAGAGGAGACACTGGACTCACACACACTCAGTCGAGCTGAGAAAAGCCGCTACAACTGGCGTCCAGGCGGTTTTGGGAATAGACTGGGCAACAGGCTTGACGCGGCCGTTGTCCAATGGCCTCATGCCGTGCCTGGCCAAGAGCCCATCTGATTGGATTCCATTGGAGCAGGTTACCCGTCCTGCTGTCCAACGTCGGCGACGATTGGATGTTCCCGCAGCAGAACGAAGCAGGGGTCCCGGATCAGGTCTTCCCTGGCAAGAATTCAGGAACCAGAATTACCGTCGAGGGGCGCAGTTGACTGGTGCAGATCACTTGCAGCATCGGCCGCGGTCGTACACTCTACCGTCTGAGAGCGCGGAACCCTGTTAGCAGCGTGGCTTGGGAGGCCTCGTTGCGTCTTAACATGAGCAACGGTTCCCGGTACACGCTATCGCGAGCCGTCGAGTGATCAGATCCACTTTCCAATTAAATCCTTCACAAAATGCAACACACCACCACCAAGGTCGTCGCGGTTCTTCATAACTCGTGGTTGTGCAGACACTACTATGTAAGTGCCAAAGGGAAAAAAAGGGGGAGGCGGTGGATAACTTGACACACGCGCTACATCATCTAACGATACCAGACGGCTTTATGAATGGGGGCATCCTGTCGAGTTGTGAAGACTGAGCCTGGTTCATGTCCATGTTCCTTGGTTTGGGCGATGCAGCAGGCTGCACGCTCCGTCGCATCGCATGCTCGTGATCTCCCTCATGGGGAGAGTCATTTTTGGAGGCACACACACCCGATCGCCCGGCTGCCAGCCGCGAGCCAACCACGGTACCATACGCTGATGCCCCCATAGCAGAGCGGTACAGCCGTTTGCTCGAACCGTCGTGATGATGAACCGTCGCCGTTGGGAGAGAGTGCGAACGCCAGCAGAGAGGATCTAGCCTCCATGTTACAGAAGCGGCGCAGCCTGTGGAAGCGAGATTCGGCCTTGGAGCCGGTATCCTGCTGTGCGACTCTGCGGCAAATTGATGAAGACAGGCAGGCACAAGCACGAGTCCTCTCTCTCCTTTCATCTGCTGGGCCGTTGTTCATCCTGCGGCCCATTGTGTGTGTTCGTTTGACGCTGATTGTCAGGGTGCCACGCGCCTGGCGCTGCATACGGTATCCCAGACACGAGTGCATCTGGATGAACCTGGGACGGGGCAGGCTTGGGATGACCAATGGAGTACACAAAAGCCGACTGTGCCGCCGCACAAACACAGGTACCCGTGGCCGTACTTACACACGGTCTTACGGGACGCCTGCGCACCGGCGTCCGTTGCAACCTTTTGGCTCTTGGTGCCACGATAGCCTGACAGGATGAACCTTCGCTCGGCCACGCCAAAATGCCCTCCTGCTCCTGGGCTTCGTCGCAACTGGCGGCCCAGCTGAACGTGCTTGAGAAGGGGGAACAGTCTGAACTTTCACTTGAAGTGTATGCAGAGGCAGTGCACGGCGGCAGAGGAGTGTGCCTCCGTCTCTGGCGTTTGACTCCTTCCCGTCTGTGACTGTTCGGACGGACTATGGATGGGGGCTCCAGCGTGCAGTAGTAGTAGCTGCTGCTGGTCCCGTCTCCCTTCTCCTCTGTCCGTACAGCCATCAATCATCGGCCTGTCCCTGGCGATTTGACGGCACCTCATACTTTTGCGACCGCTGATGATTGACGGCTCACGGCGGGCAAAGCGCAACACACGACACGGACAAGCCTCGTTGGAGGCTGGTCGCAGGTTTTGCCTTGGTGCTGATCCTGTTCTCAGCGTCTTGACGGCAGCTGGTCGCCCCAAACGACGGGCTGGTGAAAACGAAACCCGCCAAGGGGCTGACCAGAGTCGCAGGTTGAAACTTGAAACGAGAGAAACAAACGGTAGAAAGATGAAGAAGTCTACGGCGTTCATTTGTCCGTTGCTTCACACACTACCGGCAGTCTGCAGTGGGTTTAACAGCACCGTTATCGTTTGGGGCGCTGTCGTCAGCTATTTTTTGTCCGACGCCAACGCGCCTGGAGATGGGAGATGGAGACGGTGCCACTGGAATGGGTCCCCCGGATGAGGGCCGCGATCGGTAAGGCAGATTGGCTGCTGGCCGAGTTGGAGACCGAGCGACTACCGAGAGAGGGAGATGGGGTCTGCATCTGAGTGTGTCTTCGTACATGCAGCGCCCGCGCATGAGAAATCAGCCGGTGTTGAAGCCTCTGTCTGGTGATGATGATGATGATGGCTGAATGTGCGGTCAGCAGTACGCCACACCTAGGTGTTGATTGCTCCCAATGACAGGCTGCAGACTGCATGTCAGAAAGCCGTTGCGAATCATCAACCACCTGGGTTATGCCGTGGCGTTACAATGTCCCGTACACAACGTTGAATATCAAACGCCGTTGTGTACAATGCTGTGCCCGCAGTCTAGACCCGTCTGGCCAGTCTCCAGGTGTTCTGTTCTGGATGTGCAGTGGTGTGCACTCGGCACGGCAGCAGCAGATGGAGGCGAGATTGGGCAGCGGGATAATGCCACTCCCCCCAATGTCTCTGTCTCTCTCTCTCTTGGGACTCTTGGGGACAGAGGATACGAGACGGGCGGCCGGGCCAAGAGGCTTGGGAAAGGCTTGCAGAGAGGCTTGCAGCGTGCCCGTTCATCTTCTGTTGAAAATGTCTAAATCTGTCATCAATATTGCATGGCCGTGAGCAGGTGGCTTGCATTGGGACAGCACATGGGAGCATTTTCAAATGTTGACGGGATCCTTCGAAGACTGCCATCAAGGTGATGGTGTGCAGTGGTGCATTTCATGTGTCTGGCTCTTATCGAGTCTTGATCTCTCCTCATTGCCTGTGATACGGGATGACACCGCGGTGAACAGAGACGCGGGACTCACTGCGAAACGGTAAGAGGATAAAAAAAGAGACACTTCAAATGAGCATTCATCATTCATCACGCCAGAAAAAAACGTGTTCCGGGCCAAACGTCCCCAAGAAGCAATCCGATCCAAAGGGGGAAAGCCTCCCCTTTCCTCCAATTCAGAATGAGATCCTCCAGGGGTGCTCCTCTGGGCAGAGGCAGTGCCTCGAACGGTTCAACAGCGCTCTTCAGGGCTCTCCAAGTCCCCTAGACTCTCTCTGGCTGCAGTGGACTGAATACGTGCGTGTACACGCACATCCCGGCCGGGCCGCGGAAGAGAGGGGGTGGAGTTTGGGAGAGAAACGCTTAATCGAGAAGCTTGTCCTTAGTCGTCCGCACACTTGGACATCCGATGCAGGTCTCGCCTGGTTGGCCTGGGCCAAGCTGCTTTTTTCTTCCTTCTTCCTCGTTGGTGTCGTGAGCACAGCCTCAGCAATCAATAAGAGATAATTGATCATTTCATAACGTTGCGGTTCGGCGGTCTGCAGGAGGTTTGTTTGATCGTAGACAGAATCCTTCCCTCGATGCACCAAAGTCCGAATGTCCAGCAAGGATGAACGAGGGAGCTGAATGCAGCGGAATCTAGGCCTTTAGGGTAATCGATAATGCCGCCCAGAGCGGAGGAGATGATGTCGAATGTCTCGAGGATCATCTGCATGCCAGGCGCGCCGCCATCTCGACCGAAGGAGTTTTGGTAATCTTCCAGGCGTGCACTGAGAATGGCATGTGCAAGTATCGCAGCAAATAGCAGGTCGGGTTTGCCGTTGCCAGCCGCGTCTTGTTTGCTTCTGCCATTTTCGGGTTCGCATTCACATTCATTTGCCAGCAAGTTTGGAGGACTGCTGCGCGCCCTGTATCCGCCACTCTTCTCTCTCTTCGCCTCGCCTCACTTCGCCCTCACTTAAAGCATTCCGGCAAGGCCTCATCCTCGAAGAATGTGTCAGCAGGCAAACTCTGCAACAGCAAGCCCGCTGTTGGTCGCGCATACATACCTACACCGTCGTGAGTTGATTGGGGGCCCTTTTCCCAGCTGACAAAACGAGCCCCCTCCCCTTGAAGAAGCAACGCTCTCCCTGTCTGCTAAGAACTTGCCGTGAACTTTGCCCTGCGTCTGGCGCTCTTCAACCCTCAGCGAACGAACAGACATGCAATCTCGCTCATGTCGAGCTTTGGTTTGAAAAAGAAATCTGCCGACAGGATCCGACACGCCGGACTCTCGCAATCATCGCCAGATGCCACCCGTCAGTCGCAAAAGCAACACTGACGCTCGAGTGCGTGCACCGTTCATTGCCCAAGCATCAAGCATTCATCCCGGCTCTGCCGTGATTCGCGAAGGAAGCTTTCCCAGCGTTCCAACGGGTCCCATCGTGCTTGATTAATACGAGCAAACCATTGAACTGAACATACACAGAAACCTCTCTCCTGCAGTTTAATCCCGCCATCAAAGTAGTTGTAGTCCACCGATAAAGCAGTGTTCATACATAGCCCACGAGTCGCATCCCGAAGAATACAACTCCAAGGATTCCATTTCTCCCGCTGATCGGCCCCCTGAGCTTCCTATCTCGAGTCGGTACCCGGCTGCCGGTTCCTCCTGGCCTGCGACCTCCGGCCAACACATTCAGGCTCACCGCACCAACGCCGTGCCCGCCGACTCAATCCTGTGACTACGACGCCGGACGGGACTGCATACCGTACTCGTTCTGCGCTGTTCTGTTTATTCTACAGAGTAATGCAATCCCCAACCACCGTACCCCCCTTATTGTCCACAACCACGCGTCTCTACAGGGGCAATCCTGCACAGCCAACATCATAAACCCACAAATGTCGTGCCGCCCTCGTTGTGGATGCTCTGGAGATGGAAATCGAGTCAGTGTGCCCGGGGCACCTTCCCAGTTGATAGATGTCCTCCCAGCTGTGCCCAGAGGCCAAGCAGAGACATATGAACCCACGAGTCACCCGAAAAGCAAGGCACAGCCATCCCGCCCCAAGCAGCAGACCGGCCGTCCCATCTTCTGATAGTCCAAACCGCCATCGGCGCGGCCCAGTCTCGTTCTTAGGGTTCTGTCAAATCGCTGTGCCACCGATCCTTTTCCTCGCCCTCCGCGACGAGCGGGGACCGATCCCGAGCCCCCTTTAAACGCCGACGAGGAGAGAGATTGGAACTACTCGTGCGGCTCAGTGCATCTGCATCGCATTTCATTTTTGGCGCTGCTGTCGCCCATGCAACAAGAACATGGCCCTCCTAGATCAATCTCCAAGGGACTCTCATGGCTTCGATGGCTTCGACGGCTTCCAAATGGATCCGTCCCGTCAAATGACGATGGCTTTCTGCCTCCTATCTCCCGCTGGCCTTACCACAGATCCCGCCGGGTCGCCATGGCCCTAATAATAACTAGCATCCCTCCTCGAGGCCCGAGCCCGCCGTCCCGAAGATAGCGGGACAGACATGCTGTTTCGCCCTTTCATCTGATGTTGCAACCTGTATCTCAGCGTCATGATTCCTAGGCCTTGGGTGTGAACGGCCCTGGCACGCAAAGACTGGGAAAGAAACTTCATCCCGTTCCGGACATAACCTTCTTCGCTTGTGGCAGTCCCGTCAGCCGGCTGAGACCGAGTCTCATATGTTTAATTACACAAGGCCGCAAGGCTGGCTTGATGTTTACATCTTCTTTGCCCACTAGCAGTTTTCGGTACCGACTTGATGGCTCACGTCTTCAAAGAATGCGCATCGCCTTTTATCTCGTACTTCGAAGATACACAAAAGATACGTCCTCCTTTCAGTGGAATTCCTCAACTTCAGAGGTTGCATTTCCATCCGCATAGCTCACCACGCCTTCGGGGCCAAAAATAGAGCTCTTAGCTTCAACGTCCATTACCCGCAGAGCTTGCATCTAGAATATAGACACAGCTGCACTTTGCCTTATCGCTTGTTCCTGGTCCATACATAGGACGATTGGAAGATCACCTTGTTGAGAAAATGCCACAGCCCTAAAGTGATGATCATACCACGGAATTCAAATAGCAGAGGAGGGAAGACCAAATCTTCCGAGCCCCCACGCAACGCCTTTCCCCTGCAGCTCGCAGCAAGCAGGCAAGCAGGCAAGCAGGCAAGCAGAAACCAGATTCCACGAGCCGGAAGCCCGGCTGACGCCTGCCGCCCACAACACCCGCTGTACCGCTGGAACAAGATCGCGCGCATCCTTTCAGCTGCTTCGCTCTCGGGAAATGTGGATCATGTTCCAGTTCTAGACCCGATATCGACAGGAGCATCTGCATATGCCGCGTCCAGGTTCCTGTCAACAAAGAGAAAGGAAAAAATATCCCGAGCGAGAAAATACGTCAAACGGGGTATTGGCTTGCATTGGTCTCTTCGATAGTTTCTCATCGGCCGTCACAGAAGTCCATCCTTCAGCTCGTTCTCGCGTCCCCAACCCGGCCCGTTGTTGGACGTTCGAATGCAGGGCGGAGCCGCAACAGCCCCAGCGTGTGTCCCTCACCAACCAGGCCCTGTTTACATCTCCACATCGAATCGAGCAACAAGACGCGTCTTGAGGGGAACCTGTCCGCTCACCACTCACAAAGCCGAACGGTCCAGCCCACCCAGCGCCGATCGAGTCTAGACCATTGTGAATCTTTTTCTCTCTAAACGGCATTCTCAGGCACACATGCTTCTTGCGTCATGTATCCAGGCCTCGAATGTTCCTGATCAACTTCGATCGGCCCCCTTTTTTTCGCCACGGGGAGAGGCTGAACCCGATTGAGATGAAAATGGAGATGCTGCCTTGCTGGTGGAGTTCAATAAGGGTTCCGTGGATTCCTCGCACACTACGTGATGAAAAGAAGCCCTACATACTACTCTCTGCCTCCCACATTGCCGTCGAAATCGTCCGAACTGGTGTTCAATTCATGATTGATGTGGATTAGCTGGGGATTGCCCCCTTCGGTGCGTGCTTCTGAAAACGGACGTGGAAAGGGGCGGCGACCTTTGAGCCGTGGGTGGGATCCGTGGCCGCGCGTTCCTGGCTAAGGGGTTCTTTCGTACCGCTGGCCGCGTGCGTTTGGCAGCGGTGCCCAGTAAAAAGATTTTTAAGCTCGGTGGTACTCGACGCTCCGTCTGCGTCCTCCAGCTGCCTTTCGACACTCTAGAGCTACTTGGGAACAGCGCTAAAGGGGTATTTAAACTTTTTCCCTTTCGGCTGCTCTATTTCGTGGACTAGTGGTTGACTAGTCGGCGTTTTCGTTCGTAACGGCGTGACGTTCTGGAGAACCTAGTAAGGATTGGGGGCTGAGAAGTTGTGGGAAATGCCGCGTTCGGATCAACGTGATGGATTCTTAGCCGCGTGGGAGGCCGGAGGCCGGTGATCCGCATATGAAATGCTGGCTTGGTTGCTGTGCTCAGACGATGAGTGACGGGTAACGGCAAAGGTGGTGATTGGTTGAGGTAGTATTGAAGTAACGTCTGTTGGTTTGACGATGGTGCTCGCGACTGGGTTGTTGGCAGTGACTTGACTTGAAGAAGAAAGTTACAAGGAAGAACGATTGACTTGACTTGATATTCTTTGTACCACTCCATGACTAATATTAAATGTTGCTACTATCTCATGATGCCTGTGCATAATATGAGTGACACTATTAAAGCGTTTCGTCTATTCTTCTCGTCTATTGGAAATCTCAGGCTGTCAGCATTTGTAAATCAGTGGCCATTCAGACTGCCTCAACAGTAGATCAAGAGGGGTTGACACGGATACATGCGGGCAAGAGACCACAATCCTAATGACCGAAGAGTCTTTGAAGAGTAGGAAAGGAAATCGATCGTCAGGTCGTTTGCTGAGATCATCCTATTTGGGAAATGTACTTCGTTCACTTGTCCAGAGAATATTTGTCCAAGTTGTCTTCTGCAACATGTTCTCCTTTCTGGTGTGTCACATGACTTTCCGGTGTTTTTTTGATACTTCAAATTGATACAATGTTGCAGGTGTAATGAATTTCTTGCTTGTGTCTAGCATCGAACAGGAGAAAATTGTTAGAAGAAGTACCAATCATCGATAATACAACAGTAGTTACAGACGACATTATTCTAGGGTTATCCCATTTATTCGATCATCCTCGATAACTTCAAAAGTCTCAATGACTTAGTATCAAGCTCAAGATTTGATTTTGTTTTCTCAAATTTAATCCCCTGCCTGAATTTAGTTATCATGTATGACTTTGTGTTGCGGAAGAGCGGTGAGAAATTTCAACGGAATCACTTCGATCGCACATACCGTATGCTACGGTCACGATGGATCCTTGATCATGCACGAAGCCGACTCTGAAAAAGGCGGAATCCTGTGGTGGGTTCTAGTCACGCGTTACACGGGTTGACAGGAATCGTCTGGTGAGCCCGAAACGTTACGCCAGTTGCCACAATGATACACAACGACGGATAAAAATTTCCTCGTCTACTACCAGGGAGAGATAAAAAAGAGCTATACTAGGCGTGCAAAAAGCGTTGAGCTTTTTAGGATTTTATTGTTAATATATCAATGCAGCCTCAAAATATGTGTTACGTTTTATGATTTAGGTATATTTCTAGGCACGTGGTATAAAGTGTTGGAAAGTTCTTTATTGTTAACATTACAAGATGATTGATACGTAAAGTCACTATCACCTTCTCTAACGTGAGTTATATTATTGACAACGGATCTGAAAATGTTTCTCGTTTTTTTTTAACTGCGCGTTGTCATGATCACATTTGACCTGGTCGAATGATAGTCGTGCTATGGCAAGTCACAGTCTTCCTGAAACTTTCTACAGCTAGTATCAATTCGATGAGCTATACACTTGTATTGGTTTCGATGTCCTGTTGTGGGTGCAATTGCAACTTGCCCTCGAGACCTCCGGACAAGTTGCAGCTGGACGCTCTATGCACGCGTGGTATCATACGGCCATTTCCCTCATCAGGGTGGCAGTTCACAGGGTCTAGTATTTAGAAGTCCCTTTATTTATAACTTCAATAATGCAATCTTCAGTGTTCATGGTATTAGGAAGATGTTTTAATTGTCTGGCGCGAACGACCTCCGTTGAAAAGGGAGCGTCAAGCGGTATTGGGTATTGCGTAATCTCATCGACTGAAAAGTTCATGTTTTTCCTTTCCTTAACTTTGCCTCCTTTTCTGCTTTTACAACAGCATCCGACGCATAGAACTCGGCATCCTTGGAGAAAGCCGAACCGTCCACTCCGTTGGTTTCTCCCTCAGGAGGAGGAAAACCAGGTTTTTCTTTGGCGGCTTTTGCGAGTAACTCCGACGAGTAAAATGAATCTACAGCCGCGTCTCCTGGTTCTCCGACCAGAGAACCCCCCAATCGAACTTGGTCTTTTTCCTGGTTCAGAGACCTCACATCTCGTCGATCCGCGATCGCGCCATCCTGAACGTGAATTCAGCTTTTAGAGCAAATGACGGCAGCTTCTGACGCTGCCTGATTTCGAGCCGAGCGACTCACTTTTGGAGATTCTCTGCTGCCTTTGAAGAACGAGAAAGCCAGGACACAGGCAAGGACGAATATTAAGATCGTGCAGCCCCGTGAGCGACGCGCTCGGGTCACAGCGTAACTTGACCCTGATGACTGCGCGCGACCGTTCTCTTTCATCGTCGATGCTTTCGTTCGAATCAATTGTTGATCGCTAATGAGAGACAGGGAAAAGATATGCTGTGCCGCAACATTGGGCTGCGCCCGCTCAAGATGCGGATGTCGCTGGCAGTGTCGGGAAGACGTTAGAGCAAGGCGCACGCAAATCTGGGTCTTGCTCCGAGAAGATTCAAGGAAAGAAGAAGAAAGCTGCGCGAGGAACCCCGTTATGAGGGGTTGTTGATTGCCGCCCGTTGCTCAGGTTCTGGCCTTGGGTAGGCGCCAAGCTCGGCTCTCACAGGATATTGTCCCAACCTGCTACCAACAACAAATTGCGGTCGCGTGCCCATAGGCTGTTGAAGATGGCGCTATGCCGAGTTCTTTCTGAAGCGGAGTCTCTTTGTCTCTTTCTGGACTTTCTCAGACCAGGGCCCTTGCCTCGTCACTTGAGAACCAACAGCGGTCTTACAACGGGCCCCGGAAGAGTTGATCTGGTTGCCGCGAAGACAAAAGTGTGTTGGAACGGTTAACGCCTGCATTAAGATGAGCGACCTTCCCGGCCCGTTGGTGGTGTGGTATTGCAGGACGCCACGTCTCTCCCACTCATTTTGCATCTATTCTGAAGTCACGATATTCTTTCTTTAGCATCGTCTTCTCTACGCTTTCTTTCCCCCAAAGCCCATGTCCCTGGATTCGTGATGGCCACAACACCCTCCGTGGTCACGGCCAACGGTCGGCCGACAGTGTACTCCCCGCTACCGACCCCCTGGCCGATGAACTCCGACTGTGCTTCGAGAACATATCGCCAATCTGACGAGGGCCCAATTCTCGCATGGGATCCGTACTTCGGAATGAACATAGACTCTGGAGCAGCGACGTGTTTTCCAGAGGCGGTGACATCTTGGTGGTTCCAGACTGCGAGCCAGGCGACATCCATTGCCTTGGGTCCGACGTTCGAGTGCCCCCAACTGTACACCGCTGCACAAACACTACTGGAAGCTGGAGGGGTACAGCACGTTTTCTGCTGTCCGTCGTACGTACGCAATTGGAGATTCTTTTGGGGTGCATGCGGCTGATGTCCCGACGCAGAGATTATTCGTTCAACGTGCCGCAGCCGAATAGACCCGTTTTCCCATCTCAGTGTTTGTCGATGGCTACACCTGGACAAACGATTACGTACGACTCCCTTACAATAGGAACGAACGGCGCAATTGCCAAAAGGACTAGAAGCGTTGTCAATTCGGCTGAGGTGACCATCTGGGCAGTGCCAGTCAACGGATACAACTTTCCAGCGAGTTCGACGAGCGTAAGCAATACAGGCGCGACTATTTCCCCAAGTGCGACGGCAACTTCAAAGATTTCAGGCTCTACGACCACGGAACAAGTAAGAGGGGCAACAGGGGGAAGTAGTTCATCATCCGGTTCGCCTCTTTCCATGACGGTAGGGGTCTCAGTTGGTGCTGTGGTTGCTGTGCTTGTCCTTGTCGGTGGCATATTCATGTGGTGGAGGCGGCGAGGGAGATCGAGGACTGTCAGCGAGTTAGAGGGACAGCCATACGTGAACCCTTCATCATCCTACGGTCGGAAGATTGAGCTACCAGCGGAAGTGGTTCTGGAACAGAAACATGAGCTATCCGGCGACGAAATTAACATACAAAGAACTGTCCACGAAATGCCGGCGACCCGCGAGAAAGGTTAAGCAACATATTAGCCAGATACCACATTTCATCATTTGATACCCGAAGAATCAATCAGAACAAATTTCTTGAACAACCTGATCAGAGGTCAAGTTATCGGGACTGCGTTAGCAAACGTCTGAGGAGGCTGATTTGCGGCGGAAAGATATCTCATTCAGGGCGCCAGGCGTGAAGGGACTATCTTACCCAACCATAAAAGTAGAAACTTCCAGGCCTATATCAGATTGCCAAATAATCGAGAGGAGTGTATTTAGGCACAGAAATAAGCTTAATTAGACGATTCGCATGACGGGATAGGGTAGCACTTACCCACCTGGCGAGAGAGTCATTGTTGCATGACTACGATTCGAGGTAATGAACATGACAACCGCCGTCAGTCCGTTCTGCGGCTCCGTTTAGTGAGATATCTTTGTATGTTAACCACTGGGCCAGGCAGCGTGTCGTTTTCCCGACTATCAACTTTGAGATGACGTGCAAAATTGTTTGGGCCACAACTCTTCCTGAATGTCAACGGATTAAGCCGTTAGGTGGCGTGACGACTGCAGTACGCAACGACTGCTTTCGTCAACGAGCACAGGTGGCTAGAAATTAGCGCCGGGACAGGAGCTATGTCTCGGGCGTTTTGTACCAGTGGGAGAATGTCTCGGCTGTCACCACCTGAGAGCCGATTTCATGACCACCAAACACTGATTACGTGGACAGAGGATGACGAATCCTTCCCACACGAAAACGTCAAATCGAAACAAACCTCGAGATGCGTGAGATTGGCTGCCGAGATGAGTCTGCTGCAAAAGAAATGCCAGGAGTCTGGATCAACATTGAGATGGAATGTCCTGTCAATCGCGAAGTCTGGCCTGAAATATCCTGAGAATGGCCTGCAAACCCCACAACGTTCAAATCGCTCGTGGGTCGCACCGAGCAAAGGGGTACGCTCTGCCGGTCAAAATTGTACTTGATCGCTCCCTTGGCATTTAAACGTCATCGGACTACACGTTGAAACTTCTGGTGCCAGAAATGCCGGTGAAAGAAAGGGGTTTTGTTTAGATGCTTTCCGACGGCGCAAAGCCAATTGCGTGTTGTCTCCACCGCGCGAAATGCCGATACGAATCGTTGACGGAAACGGCCAGGCCCAAAGTCCAGAGCCACGAAGACTTGATAGGAACATTCCGGAGAACCACACTACTCTTTAGCATTCAATCATGGTCATGCTGATCCGTGTGTCAGTTTCTCTAGTTCGACTATATGGAAGCGCCGAGCGCCTGAAACTCAAATGTGTTCGTTCAATAGTTGTCTCATTCAGCTCATTCAGCCGCTGGCGTCGAGAAGGCACATAAGCCTCCCACGTTCCTGGAACGTTTATCTTCAGCGCACACCTTTATTTCTGCTGCCAAGTGATTGTCTGTTATTCTCCTTGTTTTCTTTGACGCACTTTTTATTGCGACATCTTTACAATGCCTCTTCTCAAGGCTCAATGGGTGCCTCTGAAGATCGCGATATTTGTTGCGGTGTCACTCATCGTATCCGCATGGTGGATTTTGCCACACCGGGCATGGATAGTATGTATTTCACGAGCAAGCGACATCACGCACCGTTTAGATCGGCAGCTAACAAAGAACCTTTGCAGCCCTTGGCAGCTGAGCCTGCACAATATGGAGTTTCAGATCCAGTACTTTCAGTGCCAATCGATATGAACGCAGAAGACACACCGTTGTCAGACGACGATCAAGAGCCAATATTTTCAAGCTCAGTCGATGTAGACATAGAAAATACATCACCTCCAGACGACGACATTGAGCCCGAAATTTCAGCATCAGTCAACACGGTCGCAGGGGATAGACCGCTTGTTGTATACGCCTATTCCGAGTCCGACAACGCTCGAGCAAACCTGAGGTTTTTCATTACAAAGGGGCTCCATAATGCGGCCGACTTCGTGTTCATATTCAACGGCGATGCAGGGGCGGCGAGAATGGTTCCTCGCAAACCCAACGTTACGGTTGTGAAGCGGGACAACACATGCTTCGACTTGGGTGCCATCGGAGAAGTCCTTCGAAAGAAAAATCTGTGGAAGAGGTACAAGCGCTTCATCACAATGAATGCAAGCGTCAGGGGCCCATTCTTGCCCTGGTGGAGCAAATCATGCTGGACGGACTTATATCTTGACAAAATTACAGAGACAACGAAGGTAAGCACTTTTGATGCTCATTCTCTAACTTAGACACAACTTACTAAAGGACGATGCTGCTAGCTGGTTGGTATGACGGTGAATTGCCAACCCAGAATGCATGTCCAGTCCATGGTCCTCGCAACAGATGATGTAGGCATGGGTATACTACTCGACCCTGCCTTTGCGCTTTCTGCATCACAAGACGACGAGTTTGGATCAAAAGAAAACCCGGTTGGGCTTAGCGGGTGTTACGGGGACTGGAACGCCGCTGTCCACGCTGAAATCGGGACGACGGGCCTCATTACGAAAGCTGGCTACAAAGTCGACGCAATGATGACAGCTGCACATACAGTCATGGGTGGGATCGAGGCGTATTGTGAAGCTACACAAGCTGGAGATGTCCTGTTTGACAAGGAATACTTTGGAATGAATGTCCATCCATACGAGACAGTTTTCATCAAGGCAAACCGAGATGTCGACCCGTGGGTATTGGATTCTATGACAGAGTGGCATTTGAAAATGAATACCCGCAGTTCCGATGGTTGCGGGGCATGAGTATGCTCGAAGGATGCACTGGATCGGAAGAAACTTTGTTAAATAGGATAAGGACGGTACACCTGAACATCATGTAGACTGGAAAGTATTGGATTATCAAGCGGTACTAAGCCAATACGTATTTCTCACCAAAAACATATAAATATGTGAGTCCCTTGTCCTCATCAAACAAACCTCGCTGACAAACCTTGTCAAAGTCTATAGTTGCGGATGAAGTGGCTCACTTAAATGGACCTGAAAATTATAGGGGAATTTCCTCCTTTCGTCTTTTCATAAAGATCCTGAAAGTCGGGTCAACCTCCTCTGCGAAACCAAATTTGCGAATGTTGTGCTCGGTCCCGTCTTCTAGGCGCATGTCGTACTTCAGAAGAAGATGAGAAATAATGACTTTGGCCTCGCTGGCGGCGAAGAAACGACCGGGGCATCCATGTTCGCCATGCCCGAATCCAAGATGGTTCACACTTGTGGTCACCAGCTGACTCGCTGCTCCTTGCTCTGTTGCGCGCATGCGGAAGAAGCGGTAGCCGTCGAAAACATCCGGGTTCTCGTAGACACTCGGATCTCGCATTCGATCGGTCGAAACAGCGACTTTGTGGCCCTTTGGGACCTTGGTGCCGTCGGAGAGAGTAATGTTGACAAGTGCTTGCCGGAACATGGAAGCTAGAACAGCGTTTAGTCGCGCAAAATTGACATGTTCTTGGACGAAAAGCTTACCGATCTGGTTAGGCTTCAGGCGTTGGCTTTCATTGAGGACACTGTCAAGGAGCTTCATGTTGTATAACGAAGTCTTCTTCCAGCCACCTTCGGAAATAGCAGCCACGATCTCCTCTCGCAAGGGCTGTATCAGCTCAGGGTGACGAAGGATATCAATCAAGGTCTGCGTGATCAGATCAGAGGTAGTTCCAATCGACACCACAGCAAGCATCAACTGCGATGCGCCAAAGTTGTATCGATCTCCGCCTGCCAACTCCTCGAACCAGTGAATGGCATCTTCGTGCTCCGCTTCGCCGCCCTTGGCGTGTCGCGCCTGGATCTCAGCAGCGACAAGATCCCATGCTTCCTTGACTTGAGCTTGCAGGTTCTTGCACTCAGGGATGAATTTCACAGCCAGGGGCTTCAGAATCGTTGGCCAAAGCCGAAGTTTCCGCATCCCTTGAATGCTGTTATCTCCGTAATTGACGATTAGATCTAACCACCGCTCGTTGTTGCTAAGGTTCGGACCCGCAAAAATGCGACCAGACATTTTGGAAACGAGGCGAATGATGAGGTTTCCAAGAGCGACAGGCTGCCATTCTAGAGAAAAGGGTTAGCATATCCTGCTAAGTTGGAGGCGCTTTAGTAATGGCTATAGAATACCTTCGCTATCGCCAAGAGATGCGTGAAGTGTCGAAGCACATTCTTCGGAGAGCGGCTGCGTGATCTTGGCTAAAGACAACCCTGATATTAGCGATGTTTCTATCAAAGATTTGTAGTAGGCTGCCGACCTAGAGACTTTGTCATCTTGAATTTGACCACGTTCTGCAGTGGTTTCGTTGGCAAAGCCCCCTCCATGAACGGTTCAAAGCCGGCGTAATGGGCTTGAAATAACTACGCCACGTGCGAAGTCAGAACATGTAGAAGTTCTCCCGTGCAAAATGCACCAACCCCCTTGAAGGAAGACGCACCTCAATGATGGGCTCATCAATGCCGAACCTGGGATCATTGCGAATTTCTTCGCCATGCTCAGGGCGAAGTATGATGAAGGTTCCCATATCAGTGTGAACGCGGAAAGGTACGGGACCAAATTTCGCTCGAGCTGATGCAAGAAGCTCCCGCCCAGCTATAGCAAATTCGAAGACCGAATGGGAAGCCGTGAGTTCATAGAACTTCTTGGGATTGATGATCGGAAGCTTGCTTGCGCCATTGAAAAGAAAGAATAAAGGGATTGTCACAATGAGAGTGATAGCTAAGAGGGCAGCCAATAATTTCGTGTTGTCGCCATCATAGGTCGATGGCAGACCCCAAATGGTAGAAGTATTATGTAGGTGGTCCATTCCTTGTACGTTGCTCGTTTTGCAGTAGATCGAAGTTGTGAGTTTGGACTCATGATAGCATGAGGAGCTGTTTGGGTTTAAATCAGAAACTGACAAAGACAGAAACTCATAAACTCGTCTGTCTCCATGGACTGCCGTAGTTCCAGAAACACTATGCTCAAGGTTATGAGGCGGACATTCGCACTCTGCCAAGAATGGACTGACGGAGACGGACTTTCAGAATGGATCGTAGCGTATGTATCCACGCAGTGTATATGCAAGCGAGCGATTGGCTGGCGTCGTCAATGACTTAGCATCAAGGCATCTAAGGACCAATCACAGTGCCAGGGTTTCTGAACAACATGACATAGGGGGAGACACGATACTCCACAAACCGGTGGGATAGCATCCGACAAGAAGTAGCCGGCCTTCACCAGAGTCCGTCCCACGACAGCCAAGTGCTTTATGTCCGAGAGAAACTATTCTAGGAAGTCTATTGAAGCAGAGTTGAGAAGTCTTTAGTTCATCTCTGCAGTGGTTATTGCCAACAATCGGCCTCATCTCGGACCCGGCCTGATGATGTCGGCAGATCTCGATATCTAGGAACGCATCTACCCACTCTGTTTCCTCCATTTCTCAATCATGAATTGAGCTGGGTCCACCGAAAGTTTAAAAAGGAGAAGGCCATGGCCATGGTGTCTCTGATGAGACGTCGCGAGCGATGCTAGCGACTAGCGCAGACCGCCAGCAATGATCTCATGAGGTGACACTGGATCGAGGTAATGACAGTCGTATTGGGTAATCTCAAAAAGAGACTTATATAAAATTTTGTAATGACCGAAATGATTGAGCAGCCACACCGAAACAACACTAGCTGTTATGCTCGCCATCATTGATTTCCTTGTGCTCATCAACTAAGGTAGCAGGAGAGCTTTCAAGAACAGATCCGACCAGTCAAGGCGCCTTATTCCCACCTAGAGAAATGGAACGAGCTTTCGACCCTGAATATTTTGAAGTTAGAGGATAAACCATACCTTTATTAGCCCGAAGACCTCCACGGCACCCGGTGATCTTGTTGCATCTACGGCTCGGATTAGGGTTCGCACCAGAACCGAAAGGCGGTGATGGTGATCATCAGGGCCGAGGTGGCGATTATGGTCAAGACGGTGAACTTCATGCTGAAATAGTTCCGCAGACGAGGATACAAAGCGGTTTGAATTGACGTGGAAAAAGGGACATCTAGCTTGGTTGGTGTATTGAATACTGTGAAGTCGAAGAAGCCATCCTCTGAAATTGGCGCGACAGCCGTCCTTCTTATATGCAACGAAGACATGAGAGAGACATCTATTCAGCTGCTTCAATCTGAAATTCTCGAAGAGCATGTTCTTTCTAGTCGATCCCATTACTTAGAGGTATATTGACTCGTTGAAAGACTGCGAAATCGCGAAGGTCTCGGATCTCGTTGCTTGCCCCAATAGATTGAAATGGTGACGCGAATAACAAACGCGTCACTTCAAAAGAACCGACAGGCAGAGAGTGGAAAAGAAGAAGTCCAGTCATTCTTGCGAGTGTCTCGGGGTCCTGATACACCAATGGGATAGATGATAGCCCTGTAGGAGATGACTTGCTTACTTTGCGGCGTGTCAGAAGCATCCTGTTTGGCCATGGCTGTGGTGTAGTAATAGCTGTCGACTTTTGAAGGCAATTAACACATCGTCAATGGAGAAGAGAGTTTGAACTTTGTTAATCAGTGACCACATACAGAACAATGCCTTGAATAATTCCGCAACTGAAGACCCGGTGAAGTTCCATGGCCATCTCAGAAGATGTGATTCGCAATATACTATTGCGGACGGTCCCTTCCGATTGACATCTGGACTCTTCATTGTGAGAAGCAGTATCAGTATACATAGAGTCAATAAAGCAGAGGCCGGCTTGCAAGTTCGTCTTCAAGCACCATCTGCATGCACGACTCTTACTAGTTTTGATGTACAACAACACCGTGTCTTACGACGCATAAGATGGATTTTCATCGCCTTGGATGTAAGTTCATCAGGAAATAAGGCTAGGTAGAGTCGACGAATGTTCGTGAATTCATCGGCAGGACTTTCTCGGCTCTCTAGATACGTGTATGTATTTCTCGACCTTGCAGGGCGTTCCCCGAGAGGCTCGTGCGACGTCCTAGGTCCTAGTATACGAGCATCGCGGACTAGTAAGTTACCCGGGATTCTCATCTGGAATTTTGTCCCGAACTTTGACCTCGTTTCGTTTTTGATGTTCACCCAAGCTTCTCGTCGTGTTGCCGGTAGCCGGCCTGAGAAAACAAGCTTCTTCGATCGTACGATAAGGTACCAGAATATCGAGACCGCCTCGGAATGAGTTTAATTGACATGCGTTTATCGAGAGATAGGAGGCATTTTATGCGGTTCGTGTGTTACTTTCAACGCTCAGGGGTCGATTGCTTGGTTTATCATGTTAGAATGGATGCGTGGAAAACTCGGCGACACATGTATGTTCGACCATGCTCCCGCTACTGGCGACTGAGACTCGCCTTATTTTCAACAGACATCAAATCTCGGGATGGAGACAAAAGATCTAAGCTTTTAGATGCAGCCAAAGAAGGAATCCCGATGAAGCACGTCTGTATGTACAGCTTCCGGCATAGACTCTCCATCCTAAGTTCGGACCGCTGGGAGTGTTTGGACTCATGTAATGTCCTGGCATGGCCGTTTCGAACTCCTTTCAAGGAGGTTTGCAGAGCTTTGTCGTCCAGTCACATTTCAGTAAAGTATCTATTTTAAGGGTCTTTGTCGTCCGGTGACCATCTGAAGGGAGGTCGGCGACCTTCTAGAAGTCTGTCATAACTTTATTGGAGAGAAAAGTAGCTTTAAACGGCCGCATATTGCTCCACTGGACTTCTAGAACACCATTAAAACACTCAGAACCCCACTCGCAAGGGGACCCGATCACTCTCGAACACTAAAACAACATCGCCCTGACGGGCATATCCGTAGTACTACGACTCAAGCTGGCAGCTAACGAAGCCAAACACTTTGAGCGCCGTTGATCCGATAGACACATCACATGCTTGACGATGACAACAACTTATCGAGACTCCAATAAACAGGAAGTACTACTGGACTCATTTCAAGTGAGACGAGATACTACCCTCAGAGAAATGGTTTATTGAGTGTGGGCATGTTAAGTGGGGATGACTGGGTTGACATTGTAAGTATACCGATATCATAGTGATTAGACATGGTTTAGAAATTTGCTAGACCTCAGATAGCCCAGTACGTTGTTGCTCTACCCAATGAAGGCTCAATATGGTTGTGTGGGTTTTCCTGATTCCATCCGCCCTTTGGTTGTCTGCTCTATTACCAATTCTTGACTTCCATGCTCTGTCCAGTTGTCCATTTCGTGATCTGTTGTGTGACTTGATAATGGACGCATGTCCTCTATCACTTGTCGTTCAGAGGTTCTCGTACCAAACGCACTCTTCCTTTGGTCTCCACCGCGCTTGTAGGGCCCGCTAGAGCCTCCTGCAGTCATGATACCCAAGTCACTTCCCGTGGCCGGTTTACTTTGTTGAACATTACCATGAAGTGCCAAATTGACTATTGGTTTCAAAGACGGCAGACACGCTAGGGGGAGTAACTATCCGGATAAGTATTAGAACGGGAGCCATGAAATTCACATACCAGAGACAGTGCCGATGTTGACTTCGATGCCAGTCCACATCATCTCTTCGGTTAGTAACCACGTAGTGTCAGGGTCGGCAAAGTCAATTGCAAGTACATAGTGCAGCCGGATGAACGACACTGCAGTGACGCTGTGGATGTAAAGTTTGGTATCAGCAGTAGCACAAAAATGAGTGCGCCAGTTCTGGCCACAACTAAGATGGGGGAACCTACAATATGCCAAGAGTAAAAATTCCCACCAGAGCCATTTTTTGGGGCTTGCGAAGTTGCAAAGTCCAAATGCCTGGTACTGGCAGTAGCAGAAGGAGAACGTCGGTAATTATGTTTGGTATTGCGTTCGCGATGAAGAATGTCTTGACGTTGACGCCGCATTCGTAATCAGACGGTGAGAGATTGGCATTCGCGTCGAATCGGAGCCAGAACGCCGACACTGGAAGACACTGAAAGGTTGATACCAAGAGCTGCAGGCCGTTAGCCAACACAATATTGACGAACCTGCGATTGCTCTTATCAAGGGGCGGTCTTACCACTGCTGTTCCCCAAGCGCAAGTAATACCTAGTAAAATATAGATGGCAAGCCGTGATTCGCGTCGGGCGCTGAAAATTCGCCAGTAAAAAGCGAGTATTGCCGCTTTGACGAGCACAATACTGATCGTGTACAGATACTCGGCGATGAAAAGACCCGTAAAGTAGACCCTCAGGCCGTTTGGCGTAGCCCAAACATGTTTTCCAAAGCCACCATTTATGGTCACTGCATTACTGTCAGCTGGAAACTCCAGGGTGGTCCGACAGACATCCCGGTGTCGAAAGTGTGACTGACTGTAGCACGTAACGTCAAACATAAAAGCTGCTGAAAATATTTGATAGGAAAGGATTGTTAGTCCATCGCCATATTGACGATCGTGACAAGTCACAGCGAGTTTCCGGGAGATGGGCAAAATCCTACCAAAGACACGATTATGATCCAGCCATCCCACCAAATTTGGTTTCTAACAAGCTTCCGCGCCGTAACGCGTAGCGCAACGGCGGCTGCACCAAGAACCCATGTGATGACGAACCCAGACACCAGCGACGGGACCTTGGTTTCGTTGAGGTCGAGTCCATCCGGCGGCTCTGCAAGCGACATCTCTGGCTTGACCCTCCCTGCTCGGAAAATAACGATTAAACGTGTTTTCTCAGAGCACGGATTTAGGGGATATCCAAGCGCGGAGGTGTATATATGGGCACTGGAGCCCAGCTACATGCTTTGATCATGCCCCTGGAAGATCGCGAGTCATACACAACGATTGCCGATTCTTATGATGGAAACGGCACCACTTG